GGGCATCACGTACGTGCTGACGGTGCTGTGGCTGCTGGTGTTCGCCTGCTCCGCCGTGCCCGTCTACATCTACTTCAGCACCTGGACCACCTGCCAGTCCATCGCCAACCCCAGCAAGACCTCGGCCACCATCGGCTCACTCTGCGCCGACGCACGGATGTACGGTGAGCGCCCCGGGCCCTGCTCCGCAGCGGGGAGGGGATGAGAGGGGAATTCCCACCGGGAAACCTCCCTTCCCCTCGACGTGCATCGCACCCGGATGCATCCCCGGCTCACGGGTGCCCCGCGTCTCGCCAGGCGTCCTGCCCTGGAACGCCTTCCCCGGCAAGGTGTGCGGCACCAACCTGCTCTCCGTGTGCAAGACCAGCGAGGTGAGTGTCCCCCAGTCCCCCCGGGTCCCCTCGGTGCCCGTGGCGGCGCCGGGCGCTCCGCGCGCGCTCTCCTTGCAGTTCCAGATGACTTTCCACCTCTTCATCGCTGCCTTCGTGGGCGCCGCCGCCACGCTGGTCTCGCTGGTGAGGGGGCGCGAGGATGGGCTGGGGGGACATTTTGGGGCAGAACAGTCGTTTTGGGCCAGCAGGGGGTGGTGGAGGCTGGGACACATCTGGGGAGGCTTCAGGAGGCACCTCCCAGCGTGGGTCCCATGGGCCCCTCCTTGGCGAGGTGCCGGGTGCCGTCCCCCCTGCTCACTCTGTGCCCGACCCCAGCTCACCTTCATCATCGCCACCACCTACAACTTCGCCGTCCTCAAGCTCATGGGCCGAGGCACCAAGTTCTAGCGAGCGGCCAGCGCCCGTCACCGTCTCCTCCGTCCTCTGCTAACCCCGAGGCTTTAACACTGCCGCCGGCCAGCGGGTCCCCCCCTAACGCTGCCCTCGCCGCCGCCCGGTGCCGCTGCCGGACACTCTCCGGGTCCTCCTGCCGCACCAGGAGGGAAAGAAGGATTTTCCCCCTTCCTCATGCCGAGAAAGGTGGATTCCGGCTGCTGCAGCCAAAGCAAAGGGGTGTCAGGGCAAGGATCTTCCCGTGGCGAAGAGAGCACTGACCCCCATGTCCATGGATCCCGGGAGGGCGCAGCCTGGGGCTCTCCGGGACCCTCAGGGCTTCCACCTCCTGGCATTGCCTGCCTTGGAATTCCCGGAGCAGCGTCGCGCTCCGTCCCGCTTCCATTTGCCTCTTTGCAGTGTGTTGTTTTATGGGGGAAATTCGTGTTTGGGCAAGCGGCCGGCTCCGACGCACAGAGATTGGAGCAGGACGGGGCCGGGAGCTGCGTGGACTCTCGTCCGCTCCCACGGGGCTGCCTGGGGGGTTATTTCCTTTTTTTTGGTTCTTTTCTGGTGTCAATTTAACAGCAAATAACCTCCCCCCTGCGCCCTGCGCGCACACACGCACACGAGAGTTAATCGACTGAAAGTGTTTCCTGCCTCTCTCCTCCAGACCTCGTTAACAAGCAATAAAGAGAAAAACAAACAAAAACAAGGAGCGCGTTTTTAGAGCCTTTACCTTACCGGGTGTATTTTATAAGAGTTAAGGAAAATAAATTAAAATTAAGACCACTGTGAAGCAGACGCGCATCCATCCTTCTGTGCGCCCGGCCCCTCGTGCTGCCTCTCGCCCGCTCCAGGTGCCGGGGGACCCCCCCCGGGGGCTCCCCAACCCTTGTCCATGTCCCCACAGGGGTCTGCACCCCCCACCCCAGTGCACAAATGTTCCTCCCTGCTGGGGACCCCTAAAAAAAAAAAAAAAAAAAAAAAATCCCCATTTTTGCCCAAGGACGGGTGGGTTCGAGGCAGCCTGTTGCACTGTGGCTGCTGACAGGGCCCCTGCAATGACCCTGCACGAGGCCGCGCGGGGCCGGGAGCCCCGGGGCGATGCTGAGAGCATCCCGGGCGGCCCCGACGCTCCCGTTCGGGTGCCCGGTGCCACCGGGAGCGGACGGAGCCTCCCGCTTGGGGCATTGGCACTGG